GTTATGGCATTCATAACACAACACCTCGCCATGTTTCAACTTGTAAGTAGTCAGTTAACAAGGTCTTTCATAGTAGCATTTCTATGGGATTGACGTACTAGCATGATTGGGTTCAATTATCAGTGTTCACTGATGACATCATTTGACTGGCCCTCTAGAGGCGAAATTACGCCAGGCAAAGCGCGCGTTTGTCGTCTGCTTCACAGCCCGTTATATACCCGATATTTAGGGCATTTCGCAGCACATACAATTTGTTTTTATCGACGGAATTCATTCATAGATCTCAAATTTCATGTACTGAGTGTCAAAAGCCTCACCTCTGCTCCCCTTTAAGAATGTATGCATACATGCAATATACTGGACAACTTAAAACTTAAATTGTATGTAGATTGAAGAATTTGGTTGGAAGTGTGCGCAAGGAACACGGTACACGATTAAAACTTGTGAGGTTGTGTCACCCACAGTTTACATATTTGTACAACATACGAATCAGGCGGGAGACAAGACGTGTTACGTGGAAGTTTAGCGGTACCCGAAAATACCAGACGTGTAACGCCACGTGGTATATTCATAGACGATTGGGTTAGTGTGCGGCATAGGACATTTAATGTACTTATTGGGAGACCAGATAAGCTAGCGCTGAAGCTGTATCTTACATGGGCTTCAAACAATAACATATATATTGAATATTTCTTGGCGAAACGCTATATTTATTCCGTGGATTATTGACTAGACTTTGCGGAAGACTAGATGTGTTACGTGGAATACTGGCTGTACTACGTGGAAGACCAGGTGTGTTACTTGGAATACTTGATGCACTTCGCGGAAGACCAGGTGTGTTACCTGGTATACTTGATGTACTTCGCGGAAGACCAGGTGTGTTACCTGGAATACTTGGTGTACTTCGCAGAAGATCATCTGTACTACGTGGAATGCTGATTGTACTTCGCGGAATACCACTTAAGCTACCTGAAATACACCATACACTTCGCAGAAGGCATGGTAATCTTATTACACTGTGCGGAATATATGCAAATTAGATACTAGTTATCAACCAACCGTTGCTCAGAAACGAGAACTTAAGCACGTATGCATCTAGAGCTGGCGAATATAAAAATATATGATTGTTGTAAATTTCTAAAAATAAAGTTGTAAATAAAATAGAATTTTTCACCAATTACCAGTGACTGTTTGGCAAACTAGTAGTTCTAGATGTTATCCTTCAGACCAGAGCGTAACCCTATATTTACACAGTTTTTTTTACAGAACTGCAGTCTAGGGTAAAGCTTTGCTGCATAGCAATGGACTTTGAGCCAGTCAGTTATATTGCTATTAATATGTCAGCCATTAGGTGGCTTATTGCAATGACACGTGTCATTTGGCTTCTAGACACGCAAGTGAGATTTACAATTGTTTATATTGCTCTAAGCTGAACAGAAATATAAATACAAATAAAAAACCTGCGCAATTATAAAACTCCTCAGTCGTAGTTAATTGTGCAATTCTAAAAGTCCAATAACACTATCCGCAACTGTAGCGCACGATATACGCAATTCAAAACATAATCAAAATTAAAGGTTATAAGAACCCCGATGCGATCAGCAAAGTCATATAACTGTTACTATAGCACTTAAAATATTTGCTACATCACTAACGTCCAAAGTACAGTCCATATATCAAATCAGTGGGGCTAGGCAATAATAGTCGAATTTAATTACCAGTACTAGTGTTGGTGGCGTTGTTCATTGTTGCTTGAATTACTTACAGTGCATAGGGAGAGTTTAATTGCTTATCTGCGCAATTGCTTTATCGTTCGATACTGTTCAAGTATATGGATTTAAGTGCCGTGTTGACTATCATTCAGTACTAACTTAGCCATTCGCTTTCGTATTTCTTTGATAAACATTTTAATCACAGATTTCAATATTTCGGATTTTTTACATGTGACATTTAATTGCGTATCGTCAGCATACATCG